AATTGTTTTATTATTTTTAATCAGTTAATAGGAAATGTCTTAAAATCCTTCTTTATACATGTAATAATCAGTATCTTCTCATACAAGGCATTGTTATGTCATTGCATTATGACGTCACAGTAATGAAAACCAGCTGCAGTATCTGTTTTTAGAAACATCCAGTCTATTGTGACGTCAGTACTATTGTTTCTTCATAATAGAACATTTCCAATTTTATAAACAGCAGGTTTGTAAATTTTTAAAATAGACACATCCAGTCTGTAACACTTTTTATACTTGATCATGTGATCCAGTTTGAGCCAATCAGATAGTTGGAACAATAAAGAAAAATAATAATTAGTGTTCTTACATTCAAATAAGTCCCTAGATTGTTGGATTTTTATTATCATTGCACACTGAATCTGAGGGAACTTCTATTTCACATACCATTTTTCAGGTTTTTTAAACACGATAAATCAAGACATTTAATGGGACATTCAAGAGTTTTCTTTTTAAATAATTTCTATAGTCCAATATTTCGCTGCTTATATACAGAGTTATCTACCCTGAATAAGATCTTCTGAAAAATGAAATCACAAAATCTATATTCATGATAAAAAACATGGCAGACGACATAAGTCACAGCTCGTTTATTTAATGAGAAATGGCATGTAGCTTTAAAAGTTCAATAATATGTGAGTGCTCTGGCGAAAGTTTGGCTTTCAATTCATATTCATTGAAAGATCAGGGAATATTCGAACTGAAGCTGGCATATTGGCTAGTGATATAACAGAAAAAAGTTTGTTATATGTATGAACATTATAAACCTTTTTTTTTCAAATCAGAACTGGAGTTGGTGAAAATCAAAATTATGTTGTATACCTGATATCATTGTACAACATCAAAAGAAAAATACCATTCTTGGAGGGTGTCACGATGTGAGGGCAGATCGGACGGTGTCCATGGAGAAGGTTTTGGAAATCTATTCCAAAACGCGCATTAACGAATAGGAACTCATAAGTATAACTATTTATGGGTAAAATTGAATGATGTGATAATCATTCACTTATTTTGGTTCTAAATTGAGCACTGTATAACATTTCTCGAGATGTTAAAACTAAGAGACACACTGGACTATATTTATACAGTTGACTTCTCTTGATGTAACTATATAATAGCTTAATCAAGAGACTGTGCAAATAGAGCCCAGTGTGCCTTTTCGTTTAAGCATCTTAATTAAACCATGCTCATAACAAAAGCCTAGTTTGATTACAATGCTCATAACATACGCTTAGTTTGATTTAGCTATTCAAAATACCTTGATGTAATAATTTATCATACAGTCATTTAGGGTGTTCCGATTCACTCCCCATCTAAAATTCCGGCACTAAAACTTGCAGCCAAAGTTTCCAGGAACTATGAATCACCACACAAGACTGTTAGGAAAGCTTTATATCAGGTGAACCAAAATAAGTTGTCTATTAGAAGAGCAGCATTAGAAAACAATCTCATTTTTTTTTTTCTACAAAGAAGGGCATCAAGAAAATTAGACGTCGACAGTAAAGGAGGTCCAAAGCCTGTGTTTAAAAAAGCCGAGGAGGAAGCACATTTGCAAATTATTTACCAGAAATGACACAGAGAGGAATGGGATTACGTCCTACAGAGTTTCTAGACTTTATCATGAAAAAGGAAAAGAGGGAAAGTCCATTTTAAGACGACAGGCCTAGTTGGGATAGGTATTATGGTTTTTTAAGGCGAAACAGCCATGGCACCTGATCCCACCTCTGATGTTTCGGAGGTCCGTGTTTGCTCTGCTCCTATTTTGTATTGTTTTTATGGACTTTGATATTGAATACTGTTCCTTATCTCCATATCCTTCACATAATTAAAAAAAGAACAGAAAACCTCTGGAAATCTCTAGATTCTATGTGATTGAAAGAGATTGATGACTGGTTTGATAAATATCAAATTTTTATGTCAGACGATCATCTCCTGGATAAACTTGAAAGAGTATATAATGCAGAATAAAACTGGATTTATTGATTGATTGATTGTATACCGCTTAACGTCCCTCTCCAGAATATTTCACTGATATGGAGACGTCACCATTGCCGGTGAAGGGCTGCAAATTTAGGTCTATGCTCGGCACCTACGGCCTTTGAGCAGGGAGGGATCTTTATCGTGCCACACTTGCTGTGACACGGGGCCTCAGTTTATACGGTCTCATCCGAAGGACCGCCCCATTTAGTCGCCTTTTACGACAAGCAAGGGGATACTGAGGGCCTATTCTAACCCGGATTCCCACGGGGCAAAACTGGATTTACAATGGGGTCCAAATCTGGTCCAATGATAGGTCCAGCCAAAAAGGTAAATGCGGGTCCAGTTCCACATGTATCAGAGGGAGAAGCAAAGAGAGAGTAAAAGGGATGCACTGTGCAAATGCTGAGGGCACAAAATTCCATTTTTGTGTGTGTTTTCTGAGCCCAAACCAGCTTCGTATGACTTAGTGGCTAGTTAACACAGACAAGTTCATGCAGAATCTACAGAGAAGGGTTGGATAGATGCAGAAACGATCAGAAATTTTATAAAACATCTTCATAATCATGCTGTGAAAGAGAAACCAATTGTTGTACTAATTGATGGTGTAAGGAGTCATGTTGACATGGAATCCTTTTCTGCAGCCAAAGATCTTGGGATACAAATCTACAGGTTAGTAAGAAATACAACTCATTTAATGTAGCCATTGGATGTGGGAGTTTATGGGCCCTTGAAAAAGAGCTGGTACAAACACCTAAGAGCCCATACCAAACATATCTGAAGATATCTTAAGCAAACAAACTTTTACCAGACACTTGCCAGTGGCTTCTCTAGATTTCTACAAAGCATTAACAGTGCAAAAAGCTTTTCCTCTTCTGGTGTGTTTCCAATAGACAGATTTAACATTTCAGATTGTAGACTTAAGCCTGTTCTTACATATAAATATAGGGAGTGTAAGTCTCGTTTAGCATCACTTCCGGTGATGCATTTCCGGTGACAAACATGGCTATATCAATACAATATTGGGCCAATTATACAGCCGAAAAACCATTAGTAACCATGTTATAAAATTTTTTTTGATCAAGAGACCAAAACGATCCTTTCGGTAATACAAGCTTCGATGAGGAACACATCATATAAAGTCATGGTAAGTGTCAAGGTTGTTGTGTACGTTTTCGTGAACATCTCTGACAATATTAGACAATAATAGACAATACTGAAAACATGTTGCAATCTGTAACGCTTGTAGAAATAAGACGCTGTGAGGTTTCCCCCAGACATTCCTCCCGATGTCCCAGTAACATCATGCAGAAGATAAATGGATATTGGAAGGGGGGGGGGTCCTCATCACATATGATGTAATGTTCCCTGCTTCGAAGGTGTTCATATTCAATATATAAAAAATAAACATTCGAAAAATAGAAAGGACATTTGATACATCACTGCTGGTTATTTTGAACAGAATATATTGACAGATGTACTAAATATTAAATATTTGTACAGTAGGTAGTATAATGATTGTATAGTAGACATCATATCAGACTCATGAGACTGGTATTTGTTATATTGTATTGTATTTATACAGGCAAATTTAGGAAATTCTTATGAAGTCTCAAACACATCATGTGAGTGTCCCTTAGGAAAATATGAATGTCATCATGTTGCCTCTGCATTACTTTATGGGTAAGAGATACATTTAACATAAGCATAAAAAGTCCAATATTCACATTTCCAATAAATTTCACCTATGATTCTTTACCAAAAAAATGCAGTTCATTTTCTCATGAACTACATTAGATATGTACCACGGATAAGCATGAATATCTCCATTGTTACGTCATAATACCGCACTTGACGTCAAAAAACAGTGCACACTGTTTTGCTTTAAAAATGACAGTTGAATGGCGTAAATTTATGGCAATTCATCAGAAGAATAATGTAAATATAAGAAATGAATCTTTGAAGATTAATGAGGTATATGAACTACAACGCTTCACGCCGGCATAGCGCTTCATGAAATATGCCTGCGTGAAGCGTCGTAGTTCAGTACTTCATGAATCTTTAAAAATTAAATTTATTTCTTAAATAACCTGATGATTGATTGAGATTATTTACATTCATGAGCCAGAAGGCTGAAAAGATACTTCAGTAAACCACGAGTTATAAATTCACAGATACAAATGTGTTAGTAAGACTGACATAAAGTGTGGATGGTTGAAGAACCCAAAGACTTCAATTAAAAAAGACATAAAAACAATGGAAGAATTGTTTCCACCTGCACGCCCGGATTACTGGTTAGTATCTATATTTTAAATATTTTTTCTCAGTGAGGCAATATGTATTTTCTTTTATATATAGTTATTGATATATTTGCAATTTTTGAATTATTCATTAACTGTATTTTTTTAAAAAAATTATCAATCATTAAAAATACATAAATCAGTCATAAAAAAAATTTGCTTCATATTTGAAGTGCTTTAAACCGCCCCTTTGATGAAAGTGACCGGTGTTTTTTGCACCAAAAGTTATCAAAGCTTGGAAGGTTTATTGGTAAAATATAAGAAGGAAGTTATGATTTTGGATTATACATAAATATTTCCATTTCTAATTTTTTTCTCTTTGATAACTCTAAAGTTGTCGTGTTACTATTGTTGTTATTTAAGTTTGATTTGATTTTTACATTAAGAGTATTATGAAACTGTTATTTTGTTACTGACCGTTAGTTGATTTTCATTGTGAACAAATGTACAAAGATGAGGAGCATAATATTGTTGGCTATGTATATTGTCCAATTTTTGACATACTATGTAATAAATATTAATAACAATCTGAGAATAATTGGAAAGGCAATATTATAAATATGATAGCATTTTTGTACATGAGTATACATTTTTGAAAGGAAAAAAAGCTCATTCTGATGCCCCAATGGTATGGTTACGACATACATTATCCCTGTCAGATGAAGCCATTAAAAGAGCTGCACTGGCAACAACTGGGCAACAAAACAACCCAATGTGGTCGATTGTAAAGAAATACAGAATAACAGCTTCCAACTTTGGTGCAGTTCTCAGTTCTAAGCAAAGGCGGTAAGACGTGTGATTAAATTTTTTCAAAATAGACTTTTTAAATTACAGTCAAACTTTGTTATCTCAAAACCATTATCTCAAATACCATGGATATGTCAAATTAATTTTGAAGTCCAAACCACTTATAAAAGACTGGGACATTTTATTCTCGATAACTCTTTATATATCATTCTTGAATCCATGGATATTTCGAACATTTTTTTTGGTCTCATTGAGTTTGTGATAATGAGGTTTGACTGTAATGACTAGATATTTGTTCATATAGATGCAGGGAATATTAGATTAATAACCAAAAATCATATTTTCTTCTTCAGAATGACATTGTCACTGAAGAAACGGCTTATGTCGGCTTACAATCTGGAGTCCATCAAGGCTGTTGCATGGGGTATCACTCATGAAGATGATGCTTTGAGAAAGTAAGAAAAGGACTTTGATGCAGCTGTAAAGCAGTCAGGTATACAGAAAAAAATAATATTCCTTCAACCTCTGACATGTTAACATTCATTGTGTCAAAACAAATAACAGGACTTATCCTGGTGACAAATAGAAATCAATTACTGAAGTCTAATTGTAAAAAAAAAATATTCAATTACCAACATATTCCAGAAAATTTGCTGGAAATAGAGACCTACGTAAAAATAACCTAGTACCATTCTGTACAAGTATATCCATGTACTCTATTTGAAGTAGATGGGATCATAGGAGCTCTACTTAGAATTTGTGTGTATTACAAAATCAATTGTATTATGGTTTGTTTGCATTCAGTAGTAGTATAATTTTTTCTGAAAGGGATATGGTTGCATGAATCCGGAGTGTTGGGAGCTTCACCTGATGGCTTAGTTGTTCGACCACCAACATGCAGAAGCCAAAGACGCCATTCCTGATATTGTAGAGGTGAAGCGTCCATATACAGCATCGTCTTCAACAGCAGCAGATGCAGCACAAAATTTGAAGGATTTTTTCATAGATAAGTAACAATTTATAAGTTGGATTAAAAATCTGTGTTGTCCAGTACTTTGAAATTAAAACTCTTGGTGAGTAAATGATTTCAATACATGTATTAATTTACAAGTGCAACTGTTCAATATAGTATGAAGATATGGAAAAAGGAGGGGATATGAATGGGTATAACACAACTTAAGTGTTTTTGATTTTTTAGATATTAAACAAGATACCCTACGCCTGAAAACCAGTCACCCATACTATCATCAAATTCAAGGCCAGCTACACATATGTAACAAAACATGCTGCGACTTAATTGTGTGGACAAGACTCAAGAGTAGACTGCATGGTGATTAGAATAGTAAAAGACAATGAATGGACAGCAAATGTTTCAAAGCTGATAGATTTCTACTTTAACATTTTCATTCCAGCACTGATGGAAAACTGAGTTCTGGTTTCAACTGTCTTGACACTTGGTTTTGTACCTCTATAATTTTCTAACAATGGAAAATGGGTAATCATGTTAAACGTGTTGAATGTTCCTTAGCCTTATAAATGTATGATGTGATATGTCACAATCCATCAGAAAACCTCTGGCTTATAAGACTACTTTGAATAGCAGTGATGATTAATTTAATCTATGTACTACATAAAAAAGAATATAAAAAATTAGAACCATCTTATTAATGAATTGAAGATGTTATTCTCAAAGTGAAAATTATAACATTTTTGTCTTTGTTAGATAAATTGCTGAAAACATGAATTTGTTGTGTTGTGCTTTAAAGGTTGAAACCTGAAACTCGAGATTTAAAATTATAAGTAAACCCTCTTCCAAATTATATAGTCAAATGAAGAATGGAATTGCCAAACATTCTTGTAATAAATCCATGCTAACAAAAGGGATTTTCATTCTCTGAAATATTACAAAATACTACAAAGTTAAAGCCGCTTAATCCGAAACAGGCATATATTATCTTGCACAACAAAAGTACGTCATTACATAGATAATATATAAAAATAGATTATAAGATGATTTTATAGTTTATTACAACAATCCTTACAAGGAAAAATAGATAAAAAACCTTATTAAGTTTAAGTTCCTGACGGGAAGTTAAGATCTGTTATGAAGTCACCTTTGAAAAAAAAATAAATTTATCGGTTATATCTAATTATGGAGATAATTCAAACCCGAGTGTTTTTTTTCCATTAGTAGAAGTCTAAGTCATAATATATCTTTTAACCAGAAGTCTCTGTCGAGACTGAAGCTCTACTGGTTTGTACTTATAACAAATGAAGACAAAAGTAGCAGTTGGGACTTAAAACTTTACAACAGCAATAAATAAAATAATGTAACGTAAAACTTAAGGGTCCGTTTTCAGGGATACAGGGTCTTAATATTACATAAATATAAATGAACGTTTCCTATGGCTCTATCTGAACCTATAATCATTCTGGGAATCAATATTATATACAACAATGATTATTTATTATTTTCATGGGATCCTTGTCCTTTGTTTTTTTTATGTAAACAGCGGGATCTACAAGCCGAGGTTCTCTGTTACCAAGTACTACCTGTGTGACTGGGTTCCCTGCACCTGGTTCCGAAACCAAGTTCCTGTTGTAATGAGCACTCGGTACCTCATCCTTATTCAGGATTACTATACCTTGCACTTCACCACAATTTCTTGGCTTACCATTCACCGGCGCTCTGTACCCTAGCCTTAATTTTATTTCACTATTTTAATTCTTCTGTTCTAATATTACGTATTATCTTCTTTTCAACTTCCCACTTCTTCTACGGGTTTCAGAATGATCGAGACTGCCTCTGCAGTCGTTTATATAGCAAAGGGCTATACCATTCAAACAGGGGTGAACAGGCTCCTGGACTGTTCCATTATTCCAGGTCACACAAGCGTTTGAATGGTATAGGCTGATTGCCTTATTCATTACTCATTACAATAATGATGCTTGATTGAGCTCTTTTTGTGGCAAGTTACTGCAATAAGACTACAGCTGTAGGAGTAGCTATTAATAAACTTTTAGAGTATTTACAGTTTTAGTAACCATGGCAACATCATTCCTCGAAATCAGAAATCGATAAAAAGAATTGTGTATATTAGTGTAGTCTACTCGTGTGCCAAGTTATATTGAAATCAGACCAAAACTGTAGGAGAAGTAGCATTTTGAAAGTATTTCACAGAAATTTCTATTTTTAGTAACCACGGCAACACCGTTCATCGAAATCAAAAATCGATATACAAAATTATGTATCTTAGTGTAGTCTACTTGTGTGCCAAGTTATAATGAAATCAGACCAAAACTGTAGGAGAAGTAGCATTTTGAAAGTATTTCACATAAATTTCTATTTTTAGTAACCACGGCAACACCGTTCATCGAAATCAAAAATCGATACACAGAATTATGTATCTTTGTGTAGTCTACTTGTGTGCCAAGTTATATTGAAATCAGACCAAAACTGTAGGAGGAGTAGCATTTTGAAAAATTGTTTACAGACAGACAGACAGACAGACGGACGGACGCCGGACGCATTAGGCCAGAGTTTTTTTTATTTTCTGTTTAACGGGAATTTTTAAGGAAAAATTGGGTCGAGGGGACGAAATAAAAATAAAAATAAAAGATCAAAATTTGTCGAGTCGGGGTCATAATAAAAATAAAACCAAAAATTGGTATTAATTTTTTTTTTTCATTTAAATGTTAAAAAACGAAAGAAAACACAATATAATTTTGTTTACAATGTATTAGGATTTCGAATACAGATAAAAAGATACAATTGCAATAGTTATCCTACTGTGGTTAGTCACACTTGCACATTTATTCTAGTATGAAAGCAAAATCAATGTAATATGATAATTTAAATTTGTTATACAGCAAAAATAAAGTTGGATAAATGCAGATGACAGAAAAAACCACACTGCCTAAAATTATACACAGGTCTTCAAGTGATCACCTATCTATTGTATAAAATATATAAAAGTCATGATGAGAAATGTTTTAAGCTACATGTATATTATGATTTAACAGAAGTTAAAAAAAGCAATGGGGTTGATAGCTAACTTGACAATGCTATCTTAGTATAAAGGGATAACACATTCTTGAGGTTCCAAATGGAAATTTGTCAGCTGAACTTTTTGATGAACAACAGCAAAGTCATCGTTGAAGTCTTCTGAATGGTTGGGTCTCTGCCAAGAAATCAAACTGCCAAAAAAAATTCCTTTATGATACTTTATTAGCTAATCAAATACATGTAGTAAATGGTAGAAAGTAGAAAAAACAACTATTTACATGAGATTATTTTCTTTTCTAAATGAAAAAACAAATATTTTAAGAGTTTTTTCTTAGATAAAAAAAAATAACTATAATATCGTTCTTTGTCCATTTGGCACTAAAAGTATTCAATTCTCCACTTCTTTCTATCCCTACCTTTCCACAGGATATGTGCAACTCCAATATAGCTGTCACTTCACTTGTTAGTATTATAAACCAACTCTTGTAATACTGCAGGAATCCTAGCCTCATTTTATTCAGCCAAATAGACATGGACTCGTATCTAAAATATTTTAATCATCATTTTATGTCCCTGATATAGTTAGACACGATTCATTATAAAAAAAAATTTGCCGCGAATTTTACCTCAACTTGTTATGTACCATATGTGATTAAATTAAATCTAAAATGTAAACAAAATGCCAATTAACACTGAAAATTTTTAACAGAAAGTTTATATCAGGACGTCTCAAAACTTACCCCAACTATTTGGACACATGCTCCACAGTTCAATGTGCATCTGGTGTATTTAGGTTGACAATGCTTCAACTCCCATTTCAAAAACTTCCTGGTTTTCGTCATGAATGGATTTAAAATTACCATCTATAAATGTCTTGAAATGACATTCTTGCTTGTTGATAACTAAGATAGAACCCGCGAAGTGTGATAAACTAGTTCCTTAAACGGGTTACGACATCGTAATCAGCAAGGCGCTCTTAAAAGACTTTGATTAACACAAGCTATGTCAAACGTTTACATGATTCTTTTAAAATAAGGTGTACATCAAACCCGATTTTATTTCAAACCATCAATGAATGACACAGTCGGCAGGTATTATAAAAATAAAAGTGAAATTGACCTCTTTTATTTTTATTCGGTATTTTGAGAAAATTGGGTCGGCGCTTCCCGTTAAACAGAAAATAAAAAAACTATGGCCTTACTATCGCATAAGCTCTTCTGGTCTCTGACCAGTAGAGCTAAAAATTAAGAAATTAATTGAATATATTCCATAGTAATTTTTATTAATATGCATATTTAAAAGAATGAAGGAAAATCAGATATCTTTAAAGATTTTTTAAAGGAGGTTTAGTAACGAAGGCTTAAATACTGTCCGTGTACATGTATAAGTACTTTGTTGTGAAAAAAAAGGTTCGGGTTTGTTCTTCATGAGATAAAAACGATAATTTTAATTTTTCGAAGGTGATTTCACGCTATATCAACATAGGATTATTTTTTGTGTGACCTAACAAAAATTATTTTTTTAACTTTTGAATTCTGATATCTTTTAAAAGTAAAAAACCTTAGAGGATATTATTCGACAAAAGTTGAAACAATTTATGGACAATTATTTTTCAAGAAGTGAAACGAACATATTTTTCCCGATTAGAATCGGACTAAGCGGCTTTAACAGATATAACCGTTGACATTGATAACAAATCAAAATTTGCTTATCCCTGGCACTTTGGTATGAACATTTTTACTGTATAATGTAACAAGTCACAAGTAATTTCTTTCAAAAGTGGAGCTTGCAAGTTAACAAGACAAGGACAGATTTGAAATATTTTTGTTGAGATTGGTCTGTAAGTAGATGGGATGTAACGGAGAATCTCGTTATTCTTTATCCTCTCGTTGGCTCTTTCCACATGAATACGTGCTTCAGCAATCTTGTAACACAGTGCTGCTTCTTGTTTGGTAAACTGGCCTCGTGTCGATAAAAAAAGCTGGTATATTTAAGCAGACGCCCTGGGGCAACTGGTCATGAATGGTGAAACCTTTGTCGGCCAAAATAAGGTCTCCAGCTTTGAACTTTCGTAAAACATGGCTGTGACGTACAAAAGCTACATCAGAAGTAGAACCTGGGTACAGCATGGAGCAAAATGCAAGTGCATCGTTTGGAGCCACGCAAGTCACTGCTTTAACAGTATGGCGACTTTTGTACATACTGTAGGCCATGGCATGATTATCCATATGTGTTGGGATATCCTGGGTTGTTTCAATTGCATCCATGGATGCTCTAGCAGAGGAAAAATCCTCAAAAGATTTTGGCAGAGACCATGAAAAAAAACTGGAAAATAATTAATGTGATTATTTGTAATTGTGTACAAAAAAAATTGTTACAGTCAAACTATCATGTATACAATAAACTGCATAAAATTTTTGCAAGTCATTATGATAAATTTTAAAACAAACCTTTGCATTTAAGCTGACTTGGAAAACATTCATTGACTACGCCATCAGACAGCATCTTATGTAGTGCACGAACAAGGGTATGAAAGATGTTCGAAATTGTTGGTCGACTGACACAGAATCTATGAGCCAAGTCAGTGTCCCGAAGATCGAGTTTTAACTTTATTAGTACAATGAGCAGTTGGTCCTCTGTTTTCATTGAAGGAGTCCAGCCATTATAATAATCGAGTTCAAATCGCTGTAACAATCTGACGAAGATTTCGAATATGTCATACTGTGGGGATGTATACAAAAGCATCTGAAAATAAATTTGCTTTAATACTGATTGAAATATTTCCAAAAACTGAAAAGATTGTAGATAAATTAGTTTCAAGTAATAACAATATTAGTCTCAGTCAGGTTTGCTACTATCCACATTATGCATTTATTCAAAACTGGTGAAATGAGACGTTTAGAGTTCTGATAATTGTTATCATAGAGTAAAACATGGTTTATACAGAGAAGGTTTTAAATATTATTCACCCAAAGAGCAAATTAAATGATTTTTTTCTCTGTCATTTTAAATTGTATATTATGAACTCAACGATAATAACAAAATATGTTAACACAACAGTCAATGTTCTAGGGCTGTGTATTGGTGCCAAGATTTCGATACGATACGATACGATACATTTAAATCCGATATCCGATATATTGTACCTATTCTTAATTTAGTCTTACTCTCTAGAAAATATGTAATAAACAAAGACACAACTGATTTTTTTTTTACAGTTTATTTAAAAAAATAACAACATGGACCTATTTGAGTCCATGATCCAAGAGAAAAAGAAGCAGAAAATTAAAAAAGATAACTAGATCAGTATTCATATCATGAATAATTAACAGTCAACATTTTAAAATTTCATATTTTTCTTCAAAAAGACCAATTCATTAACACGTTCTGGACTCAAACAGGCTCTCGTTGCAGAAACAATGTCTCCTGTAGTACTAAACACTCTCTCTGAGGCAACAGATGTTGCCTGTACACAAAAGTATGTGCGAGCAAGCCTGGCCAGTTTTGGAAAATAAACTTCATTTTCCTTCCACCATGCTAAGGGGTTTTCTTTCATCGAGGCTGGTTTATGTCCCTTGTAACTTTCTACCTCTTTTCTTGCTAATTCAGCAGGAGTTATGAGTTCTTCACCTGTGACTAAAACCTCATCATCCCCAAACAAAGACTCCAAAGCAGTTCTTATTACTTTTTGTTCACTAGGTTTTGAAATCTGAAAAGGAATAGAGAATGGGATATCTCATGACAATAAGTGTTGAACTTATGGACTATTGATGCTAATAATTTTATATATATATATATTTTAAAAATATCTTATTTTTAGAATCCATTTATATACTATTTTAGATTCTCTACATACATGTTTTTTTATATTCTTAATAAATGACATTCAAGATTTTTAGAACCAACAATCATTTGTATTAAATCAAACTTTAATTATTAATATTGAATCATAATAAATTGACAATGTATTAGCAATTGAAAATCTGAATTAAATTATTAATCAAATGCTAAAATTACAAATTAAATTAACCTCATTATCTGAATCATCCTCAGTTGAACTACCAGACCTGAGGTGATCTGGAATGGTTGGAAGTGCTGGCAGAGGAATGTGATTTACTTGTGGAATGCTGACTGGTCTCACTGGTCTAGCATCTGCCTCTGTCTTGATTGCATTAACATTTAAGTCCATCACAGACAACTTGTCTTCCAGTCTTTCCCAAGTTTCTGCTTGAATACATGGCTTGCCTTTGGTTCGTGGTTCCAAAGCACTGGATTCCTCTAAAAACATTCGCACATTATTGTCAGTATATCGTGTTGCAAGATTCTGTCCAACAGCATTTTTCAAAGTTAATATGAAATCAGAATCCCCTTCCTTTCTCTCAAAATGATGCAATAGTTTTCCCAGCAGGGGCAAAATCAGTCCAGAGGTAGGAGTCTTCTCCTCACAAAGAACTAATGTAGCTGTTAACATCACCTCCATGACAGAGACAAAAACTTCACAAATTTGAACTTCATGATCTGTCATTCCACTTAATGCTTTAGACCTTTTGATCCTTTCATCAAGAAGTGCCGCAAGCACTGCAGGCCTCTGAATTAAAAACTTCTGAATTATTTGGTAAGTGGAATTCCAGCGGGTCTTGCAATCAATAATAAGTTTGTGTTGGGGTAACTGCAGGGCAATTTGTTTCTCTTTTAAAACCTCAGTGGCAATGTTACTTTTATGAAAATATGTAACAACTGATCTCACTTTTGCAAGAACTCTTTGCAAAGCTTGAATAGACATTGCTTTATTTGAGGCAAGATTTAGAGTGTGGGCTAGACATCCTAATTTTTGTGCATCTGTAACCTCTATGGCAACCGTCATATTTGAAGCGTTGTCAACAGTCATTACAGTAACTTTGTTCTGAATAGCCCAATTACCGGTAGTCATACAGGTTTTAAGTTCATATCCAACTCTCTCTCCAGTGTGTGACCAATGAAATTTTTCTGTTTGTAATATTCTGGAACACATTTCCAAGTCTTTATTCACAAAATGACAAGTTTTTGTCAAGTATGATTCTGCAGATCTAGATGTCCAGGCATCTGTTGTGAGGGAGACTGCTTGAGAGCTCTGTAATTCTTGAAAAAGTTTTGCTTTCTCTGTTTCAAATAATGCCGGAATGAGTTGTTCGCTGAGTCTTTGTCGGTTACGGGGCTGATACCTGGGTTCCATGGCTTTAATCATATTAAACGAAAAGTAAAAAAATTATGCAGAGAGAGATTGGTTTGCTTTAAACTGTTTAGGCTGCTTATAAATTCAAGAACAGTTGCATAAAAAACTTACCTAAATACAGGACTTTCAATGGTGTTCAGAGGTCGTAGATCATGTACTATGTATGCTAGAATAGCATTGGTAATTTCATTGGACTTCATGGAAGATAGTTTACTTTTTTCAGCAATGCTCCATGGGTTAACAGTCGAAACTATAAAAATTAATGGATTTTTGAGTGATCATCTTTATGAAATAAAAGCTAGCAAGTTAAACAAAGAACGCTTTTATTTATAACGCTTATGTATACATATGAGTACTAGTAATTTGTCTTACCAAAACGCCCAGAAGAAGATTCTTTATCGCCTCCACCAACGGTTTTGCTAGTGTTAGATGAGGGTTCATCGCCTCCACCGATAGTTTTACTTGTGCTACACGAGGATTCATTATTATTTCTGTCACGCGGCCGAATTTGATGTTGTAAATTAATTTTATGGTGGCGTAATAGGTGAACACTAAGGTTAGTCGTTCCTCCAGATGCTGCAACCATATCCTTGCAGATATTACAAGTTGCAAAGTTATCATTTTTCTTTTTTGCGAAGTAGTTCCAAACTTTACTTTTCTTCGCCGCCATTGCTAAAGCTAATTTTAGAACACCGATCCCGACGTTTTAAGCTGCATTCCGAGCCCAACTCGTATCGAAATACCGGCTGGCTTCTGTATCGGTTATTGCCAGGTAGCAAAATATCGATATATACCGGTATATTGATATAGCCCTACAATGTTCATCCCTCAACGGCAACAAATTTTACTGAAATTGTTCGGAAATAGGAAATCACAATTGGAATTCCTTTAAATGTACCTTCTCTTCGTTGTCTTTAATATCGTGAATTGACATTGGCTTCCTTTTACTAGACTCTATGTTTAGGGCAAGCAATTCCTTTTCCAGTTGTTGTATTTCTGTTGAGAGGCGCTGCATTTCTTGAGTACAGTTAAATGTGCAGGATGCTGAGTAGTTGTGCTCTGATATCAACTGAAAATATACTGTGAATCATATGTAATTCGATGTACAGTTAAAAGAACTGTTATATTATTAAAAATTATTGAAAATGTTTCAGTGTTGTCATCAATGGTGTTTTAAATGAGCTTTACTTTTTCTTGATCTTGACATTTTGGTGCTTGTGGAATTTGTAACTGGACCAGTTGCAAATTCCACAGTGAAGATGACAGGGACTCCTCACTTTTGAGTTTTTTCCTCCTTTGTAAAATAATTAAACTTGAATTATTTTTATTCAGTTGTAAGCTACTCTGTTTATATATACATGTACGCTTTTAAAGATTTTTAGTAAAATATTCTCAATGAAACCCCACCCATCCACCATCCAAAAACAAGATGTCATATTTTGAAAAATAATTTATCCCTTTTGTACATTCAGGATCAGAGAAATCCATGGCCTTTCCTTCATTCCATGGAAAATATGCAGGGTCCCCCTCCTTCTTACCATCCTTAAAGTGGCAGGAGGAGATACGATCATTCTGATCTCCTGGTTGGCGATCAGCTCGTCTAAAAATATTTTAAACAAAGACTGAGTGAAGGAGAATTAAAAAGCAAAACATGTTCATTTGGCATGTTATCATCAAATCAGCCTAAATGACATTTTATTTTTTCCATTTTTTTTTAAAGTTACATTTACTTGCAAGTACAAGATAACCATGTGCATAACATATAAAACGGAAGCAGTACTTCGTAGTAATAATACGAAATAAAATGTAATAAAAACAGCTGTTAAACAAAAATTAACCTTGCTACAAATTGTAGTTTTCGCAGAATATACTCTTCATTATTCTTCTGCTATATTGATTACAACGAAATTTAACTTTTTAGCATGTATGTATAAATATCTGACAATGCAGCATCGTGACATATCGTTACAAGTACCTACAAATTTTGTCAATATATCTACGTTTACTGAGTTTTTTCCCTAGCAGGCCGAAATATCTCCATGATGTCACCATGGTCATCACTCGTGCATCTCGTTATTAATGCTGTAATAAACAAACTGACTGTGTTTTTTTTCACCTGCATAGTTTTCCCCGCAACAATCGCTTCTTTCCGTTTGTGGGAAAGCGATAAAACTTGCAGCTGTTAGCCCCACTCCGGTGGTTGCAAGCGAATGCGAAGCATATCACCATTTTTGTTTGTCACCGGAAGTATTCAAATCTCGCGCGCTCTCGTTTACGAGCTTACAGTCCCTAAAACTTCATCATTTTCCCCTTGAATTCCTTCGATTTCCCATGCAACGCAACCCACATCCATCCCATCTACATCTAGCACAGAACCAGCCATTCTGATACACATGATATTATGAATTCTGCCTCTATCCAGGGGTATAGAAAAGGGCAAATGTAAAACGTATATATTCGTATATATTTTGAGCACGCTGACTTTTAAAGAAAAGAAATAAAGCAAAGTTACATAAATTAGGGATATATTAGATTTTTTAATCAAAAGATTAAGACACGTTTTTATAACACTAGCTTTCTGACACTTTTTATGCAGGTTCTGCATCCATCCCAAAAAGCACAGAACCAGCCATATATATACATCCAGGGGTATAGAAAAGGGCAAATGTAAAACGTATATATTCGGTTGAAATAAAGGTGTATAAGTTTTTTAATGAAACATTCTCTTTCATTTTTATGCATTAATATCTCAATCATTACGTCGCCCGCGTGGCGCAGTGGTTAGAGCGTCTGCTCTAGAGTCGCGAAGTAAGGAGTCAATCCTTACGTCGCGGGTTCGAATCCCACTGTGGGACGTGGAGACCGGTCCTTCGGATGTGACCGTATAAACCGAGGCCCCGTGTCGCAGTAGGTGCTGGCACGAAAAAGATCCCTAACTGCTTAAAGGCCCTAAAATTTGTAGCCCTCCACCGGCAAGTGGTGCCCTCTCCATATGAGTGAAAAATTCTGGATTTTCCCCATCATCTGACTTTTTCTGGATCTTGACACTGCCAACACAAAGCACTTTTACTGAAAAGTATATTCACTTACTATATGGCCAATCGACTTGGTTTTTGAAGAAGTCACACTTTTTTGGGGAGACCTTTAATCCTGCGACATGTAATCGTTGTAACACAGCGTCCAGATGGTTGGCATGACTGTCAAAATCTTTGGAATACACTATGACGTCGTCTACGTAAAGTAAACAAATTTCAAAGTTCCACTAAAACGTTCCATTAACCTCTCATCTGCGTTGCACATCTGAGCTGTAAGGAACGTAACCGTGGGCCAACACCTTGATCCAGCCATTCTGATATACAGGTCGCATGAACTTGGTAGAAACCATGAGCTGTAAGGAACTAGCACATGTAGAATCTAATGCTACCTTCCTTCGTGGTTACTAGAACAATTGGTGCACTCCGTGCACTAGTTGATGGTTATACTATCCCTGTATCGAGCGTTCTTTGTACTTTTCCTTGCTGTCCCTTTCTTGTGAAGGGGTATTCGTCTTGGATGCAGTTTAACCGGTCGTGCGTCTCCTGTGTTAAATTTTGTGTGACACAATATTGGTCTTCCCTAGGTCGGTCTTTGATTTAGCGAGCACTAAGATGTTTCTGTAGAAGGTCAAATACGGTTTCTTGTTGGTCAGAGGTCGGGTTCTTTATGCACGAGTCCCCCAGAGGTTTCATGTACGTCGCGAAGTCTGTGTCTACAGCGGGTTCCTTATTACTAATACTTGTGGTCTGAATTTCGCTGACGTTTGGATCTAGTTCGGCTATGGTTGCAGAGGTGTCTTTGTATACCTGCAATTCTTTGTTACTAATATTCATAACTCGGATTGGTTCTTTACCATCTTCAGGCTTTACTGGCGATTAATAATCCTGATTCCTGATTGTTGGAAGTTATGTTTCGTTCCGTCTATGAGAAGTTCTCTGTCTTTAAATTTGGGTCTACTTTATCTTCAATAATCATCTCACTTCTAGGGGGTAAAGTTTGAATGCGGAATTTGGTTTACTGGTCAGATCACATGGTAACTTCTTGTTCTCCAAAACAAGAGTTCCTTCTCCTAGGTGTAACTGATAATTACGTCCTTTAAGTACGTCAAAATCTAAAATCCTCTGAGGTTTATGTCAGCCACTACCACTCTTTGTTGTATAGTTTCTCCGTTGATACGAATTTGGAGCATAGTCTGACCTGGTATCAGTACTTCGTAAGTTATGGCTTGGTGACAATTTGGGTCTCACGCGTCTATCTATCTCATGATACTTCTTTGGATGTATGACTGTAATAGCTGAACCAGTGTCAATGATACAGTTAATTTTCATATTGTGCACAATCACATCAATTGTTAATGAATTATATGTTGAACCGTTTATTTCTAAAACATGTGGCCCTTTTTCTTCCGTAGTTTACATTTGGCCGCCGACGTCAACTATTGTGCCTTTCCCTGGTTTTCGGGTTCTCTGGTCGTCAGGCTTTTTGCGTAATCCATTTTTTTAAAATTTTTATTTTTTAATTTTTTTTTTTACTTTTCATCTTTGAGGTGTCGTTGCAGCAACCTGCATTCACTTTTGATGTGACCATCTTTCTTGCAGTAGAAACAGGGACCTTTCTTGTGAACTTTCTTAGTTGTGTTTTGGTTGGTCTTGGCTACTTGACCCGTTTCATAATTATTTCTGTTATCGTACGTTGGTTCTTCTCTTTGCATACGCACTGCAACTTTACTTCGTTTTCCTCTTGCTTGTTGAAAGGTCTCGCATTCCAATGCCAGTCGCTCTGCATCTTCTAGGTTTCTGGGTCTTCCTTGAAACACTGCCCATTTCATTTCTTGGTCATTTAAGCTTTCAGTGAACGAATCTTTGATTATTTGGTCACGCAAATCCATAGGTGCTCTTGGGTATGACATTCTCACAAGTCTTTTTATGTCTTGCATCGATTCAGTAATACTTTCATTCTTCTTCCGTATTCTACCCTTTAGTTGCGTCTTGTAGATTTCTGTTTGATTTTCTGGGTCAAATCTCGGTGATAGTGCGGAAAGAAGGTGACGGAAATTGTAACAATATTCTGGTTGTAGGTCACTCAAAACGCTTAGTGCCGGGCCGCATAAATTGGTAGCTAACTCTAATGCCTTTCTTTCCTCATTCCATATTAAGTCAAATGCTGACTGACGTATTTCATACTAATTGTTAGTCCATTATATATTTATACATTGATACATTGAATTGACGACGGATTTTTCCGTTATATCCCGATCATGACAAGTAGCTCACGGCGGGTGTGACCAGTCAGCAGGAGATGCTCACTCCTCCATGGCACCTGATCCCAGCTCTGATGTTTCGGAGGTCCGTGTTTGCTCTACTCCTATTTTGTATTGTTTTATGGACTTTGCTATTGAATACTGTCTCCACATCCTTTGTTTAATTGGGCAAACATGTCAGAAATGAACTACGTAGTCGCTCCTGTTCATGGTACCATCCATTCTTGCTGTTTTTCTCCCTTTTTCTCCCTTTAGGTTCTGGGGTACGCCTGAAGCCTTGGTCATTGGCTTGTCTTGTGTAACCATAATTTGGTATGTCGTAATCGAAGCTGTGCATGGTCGGCTGAAATTCGTTGGTCCTAGCATTGGTAGTGTAACTGGGTGATACCGTCGGGTTTGACCAACTTGTCCTTGTATGTTCATAATAACGAAATTCATCTTACGAATTTTGTAGAGACGTAGAGACGTATTTCTGTATGGTCGATGTTCACTGCGTATTTGGTAATCTTCAGACGTAGTACTGGTACCGGATTGCACGCAATTTTGGTCTACATATCGGTTGTTAGCACTGGTTGGTCTCACTTGAGATTGTAATAGGTTCATTTGGGACTTGAAAGTTATTAATTCTTGTAGAATTATGTGTAGACTGTCGTTGGTACATGCATTGACTCCGCTGCCATCTCCTATATGGTCATTGTTGTTAATCCACAAAAGAACTTCTTTGCTTGGATTACCGTCAATAAACTGTAGTTCTTTTGGTTCTGTATGATGGTCATCTTCCTCAACCACTTTTTCGTTCCTCGACATCTTTGAAAAGGTTTTAGGTTCACACTTCGCAGTCTTATTTGACTACCGGATCCCACCGCTGCCACCAATGTAACGAAACCGAGGGTATCGTGTATTATTTAATACAGAAGCATAGACAAATTTCTTTAATATTTATGTACATGTATACAGAAGTATTGTTAGACATGTTTGTTAGTTTTTTTTCAGGTGTATATAAAGAAGAGGAAATACAAAATTTTGTTTTTCAGAAACTAATTATATTTTTTGGATAATTTGTAGAGGAATTCTCTTCCTTTTAATTTGTTGAACAAATTTCATTTTATATTTTATCTCTTATTGCCTAAGTCCGTCGGATGGGACGTTAAATGATGCCCCATGTCAGGGATTACAACCCTCTTGGCACTTAAAAGATCGTTTCTCTGGTTCTCGGAAAAGGATAGGCTTCCTGAGAGCCGCCAGAAGAAAAGACTCAAAACTGATCATATAACACAATTTCCCGCTGAAATATTGCCGACCCGGCATTAAAGCTGAACACGACTCTTAAATAGGCATAAGACAATGTGTCCGTTGTCTGTCGTTGGCGTTGTCATTGTTGTTGTTGTAAACTTTTCATATTTTCGTCTTCTTCTGAAGAACCGCTGGACCAATTTCAACCAAACTTGCTACAAAGTATCCTTGGGTTAGGGGAATTCAAGTTTGTTCAAATGAAGGATCACGCCCACTTCCAAGGGGAGATGATTATGAATTATTTAAAATTAATGGCATTTTTTAAAAAAAATCTTCTTCTCAAGAGCCACTGGGCCAGAAAAAATGAAACTCATGTGAAATCATCCTCAGGTAGTGTACATTTAAATTTGTTCAAATCATGACCTCCGGGGCAAGGGTGGGCACAATGGCTGATCAAAGTTTTACATAGGAATATATAGGAAAAATCATTAAAAATCTTCTTCTCAAGATCCATAGGGACAGGAAAGATAAAACTCATGTTGAATCATCCTCAGGTAGGGTACATTCAAATTTGTTCAAATCATGACCCCTGGGGGTAGGGTGGGGCCACAACTGCCGATCAGATTTTTTACATAGGAATATATTAGGAAAAATCTTCTTCTCAAGAACCATTGGGACAGGAAAGATGAAACTCATGTTAAATCATCCTCAGATTGTGTAGATTTAAATTTGTTCAAATCATGAACCCCCTGGCAAGGGTGGGGCCACTATGGCTGATCAAAGTTTTACATAGGAATATGTAGGAAAAATCTTTAAAAATCTTCTTCTCAAGATCCATAGGAACAGGAAAGATGAAACTCATGTTGAATCATCCTCAGGTAGTGTTCAGACAAGTTTGTTCAAATCATGACCCCGGGGTAGGGTGGGGCCACAATGGCCGATCAAAGTTTTACATAGGAATATATAGGGAAATCTTTAAAAATTTTCTTCTCAAGTACTGCAAAGCCATGATGAGTGATATTTATATGGAAGCATCCTCAGGTACTGCAGATTCTAGTTATTCAAATCATAACCCCCGGGGATAGGGTGGGGCCACAATGGGGGATCCAAGTTTTACATTAAAATATATTTTTCAAAATCTTTTTCTAAAGAATAGCAAAGCCATGATGAGTGATATCTATATGAAAGCATCCTCAGGTAGTGTAGAATTAAATTTGTTCAAATCATAACCTCCAAGGCTAAGGAAGGGTCTCAATGGTGGATCAAAGTTTTACATAGGAAAATAAAGGGAAAAATCTCAATAAAAGAAAATCTATGTTTAGTCCTATTGACATGCAAGCATCCTCATGTATTACAGATTTAAATTTGTTCAAAACATGAGTACCCTTTGGGGTAGGGAGGGAAACAATGTGGAGTCAAATTCAAATTATTACAAAGTAATATATACAAACAAAATGTGAAAAAAGCTAAATCTTTTTCTCAAGAAGTTATATGCAAGATTGATATGGAGGTATTCTTAAGTAGTATTACAATTCAAGCCCCCCTCCTCCCCACCCCACCCCCTCAGTAAACTTTTCAATTCTGATCTGATTCTGATTGCATTTTCCTAGCCAATGTGTTTAGGTGAGCGATGTGGACCCTGGGCCTCTTGTTGAATTCTTTGGCCCCTGGGTCAGATGATCTGGTGTTAGGGTTGGGCTCTATTGTTATATAGTTAAAATACATAAATTCTTTAAAAATATACTTCTCTCCTTCTGGGTATTAAAGAAACTAATCAAGTATATGTTGGTATGGAATAAGGCTGCCTCTTCCAAAATTGCGTCTTTTATTAGCCCCAGGGTCATGGTTTGTAATATTAGGGTGGGGCTTTATTGATTACACATGTATTGTGAAAATGCATACATTCTTTAAAAATCTTTTACTCTCAGTCTGCTCCTGGGTATTAAACCAATAAATCATGAACATAGTTATGATGAAGAAGGATGTCTCTTCCAAAATTGTGAATTTTATGGCCCCAGAGTCAGGGGTTCTTAGGTGCTAGGGCGGGGCTGAATAGATTATATAGTGAAAATGCATAAATTCTTTGAAAATCTTTTCTTTTGCTCCTGGGTATTACGCCAATGATCTAAGTGCATATTTATAATGATGAAGAAAACTGCCTCTTCCTAAATGGTTAATTTAAGGGTCCTAGGGTCAGGGATACTGGGGGGGGGGGGGGTTGCATAATTAATGCTTTGAAATCTGCTTTTTTGTATTAATCAATCATTTCTGATGGATTATCATTTAACTGGTGGTTATAAAGTTGAAATGCATTTTCTTTTTTTTTTTTTACTCTGATCTACTTCTGGGAATTAAATAACCAAAGTAAGCATGCTAAGTTTATAGTTATGATAAGCCATGATGCCTCTTTCAAATTGTGAATTTCATGGTCTTTCGATCTGGTTTAAAATATGAACCAAATTCAATTGTTGGAAAGTTGTTACATGATACTCAGGTGACCTATAAGGCCCGTGGACCTCTTGTCCTATTATGTGACACTCAGCAATTACAACTGAAACTAGATTTCCCCTGAAAACTGGGTCAATCAATAGGGAATATCCTTTCCTGGTGTTTAGGAGGGCCTCAGGGTGACACAACACCACGGAAAACTGACCTTGTGTTACGTTTTTTTTATTAGATCAACGTTTGTGTCGAGGTCGAATGGACCCCATCCATGATTTTCTTCTCTTGTCTCTTTCACTTTGGAGCAAATATTCAGTCTACATGCTGAAATACCATTTCTCTTTAGTTGTTCCATTTGGACTTTATGAATGACAATCACAACAGACTCATTGGTTTCTAAGTTAACTAACAAATCACCCCTTTTCCCATCAAATACAACAGAGCATTTTCTTGTTCCTTCCGTAATCGGAGATTGGCATCGTATGCTGCAACTATTCTCTCTAACTTGGTCGCCATAATCAAAATGAAAATGGAGTTAAAAATCAAAACAAAATAGTTCCGTATATCTTGAAGTTATTTAATATACATCAGGATTTAATTTTGAAAAAAAAAAAAGTTCAACCGATTGAAATTACCAAACTGTCTAAAATATAAAATTTACTTTTGGTTTACAAGATTCTTGTAATTTAGACGCTAACAGAGGTGTTGGAGCGGAGTGTAAAGACGCCCTCTGGTGAGAGGTTGGGGTCAAAACTCCTAAGAAGGGGAGATAATCAAGAAAAGACTAAAACGATAGGGTAATTAAAAAATTTCTCCTCAAGAACCACTGGGCCAGAAAAGCTGAAACTTATGTGGAAGCATCCTGGGATAGTTTAAATTTTAAATTGTTCAAATCATGACCCCGTGGGGGTTGGGCGGGGCCAAAATAGGGAATCAAAGTTTTACATAGAAATATGTAGGAAAAAACTTTTAAAATCGTCCACTTACATGTAAGAACCACAAGACCAGAATAGCTGAAACTTATGTGGAAGCATCCTGGGGAAGTGCAGATTCTCAATTGTTAAATTGTGACCCCGGGTGGTATGGCGAGGCCACAATAGGTATTACAAGGGGAAAATCCGGTAAAAAACAGACAGTATCACCAAAGTTAATCAGGTGAGCGATGTGGCCCAAGGACCTCTTGTTTTGCTGACATTAGCCTGTGAAAGTTCATCCAGACGCTCGGCAGACTCCGCAAACTGGTTCTCAGCTTTCGACATTAGATAGTTAGAAAATAAACAGAACTTGGATTTAATTCTAGAAGTGGTAATCCAACTTATACTCATAATTCCCTTTCTACGGAAGAAATTCTTCAAAATCATATCAGTTTTGAATATTTTTAATATTCCAAAGAACCAAAATGAATTTGAACTCCCTTACTTTTACAGCAATATCCATTCATCACCTGTATACGAAGTTAATATATCTCAGTTGATTCGATACGCAAGAGAATGCACTATGTATGAACAGTTTCAAAAAACGAGGTAAATTATTGACAAATAAGTTAAATAAACAAGAATATATCAGCAGTCTCATTTAACGTCATCATTTCGTAAGTTATATGGTCGATACAATGACCTTGTCAGAATTAGCAAATACAATTTATCGACTGAATGAAATGCTGACTGACAATTTTCATACTTTTATATTAGTCCATTATTTATACACTGAATTATTTCTCGCATTGTTGAAGCAGTAGATCGAGTTTGACGAGGGTTTTTTAATATTTGCTAGGGTGATGCATCCTTCTGATTGTACTTTCAGTGAGTTTAGACCTCGAAAGACTGGCCTAAATAAGAATATGGTTGCAGTGAATTTTTAATAGGAGTTTCAGACGGAAATAAACAATTGGATGTTACCGATATAGAACAATTCAAGACGGCGTCCTGTGTGTATTTTGTTTAATATTAGGTAGGGGATATATTGTTTTATTGCAAGAAAAATAAGTAACGTCAGGTGCCTGTGGACACAGTCAACTAGCCAATTAACAAATTTCTCCATGTTGAAATCTTTTTTCATTGAGATTCCCTTAAGCGATTTGTATATGAAGCAGCATGTCACCTTGTCTAATTTTTTTAAACGGAAATGCTTACGATTCCAGTAATTTAATGAACCACTGTCAAACGAGACATGCAAAATGTACACTTGAGTGATGTTTTTGAGAATCGATGCCGACGTTTTAAGCTGGACACAATTGAAAACAAATACCCTACATAAAATATACAGTTTTATGAGTAAAAGATGTTAAAGTGAAAGATTTGAGATCACTTAGTTGGTATTGGAAGTTCTTTTGACATCGTATCGAACACGAGACATGCCCAATACGCAGTACTTTTTAAATGGTAACACCGAACAAACACATCATACAATATGTGCAAAATGATGTCGGTAAGTTTCATGCAACTGTGTCTTTGACTGGTTCCCAGACCATATAAAAAGACCAGTAAATGATGTTGAATAAAATGTAACACATTGGGAAAACGAAGCGTGCGTGACGGTCCACTCTTCTTCCTCTTTTGTTGTCCACATCCATATTGTTAAGAATGTATTTTTTGCCAGAACTCTAGAAAACAATAAATCATATTACAGAAATAAGATTTTAAAAAATTCTTTTTCTTCCTTGCTTTACAAAGTGTCACGACTAATGCAAAATGGGTATATGAATCCGCTTTTGTACTAGCTGTAGAACTGTAGCTCTCTGCTTGAAAAAATTCGGACAGCAAAGGCAGAGATCTGTCCGAATTAACTCAAGCAGAGAGCTACAGTTCTGCAGCTACATGTATATTTCATCTTGAAGACAACTTATTTTAGTTATTTATTTACATTGTAGAAGAGTTGAAATTCTTACCTGAATGCTTTTTGCATCAACATTTGGAATGGTTATAATGTTGTTATTTATTTTGTGATTTGTGGTGTTCATAGAAATAGTGCTGGTTGCTTGTGTCATCGTCTTTCTGATATGTTTTCGAGTGTGAACATTTATATAAGCATATTCAACAACGGCAAGGAAAACGAAAGCAAGACTCGCAGCTGTCCATACATTCATAGCTGTTACATATGAAACATGTTGAATATCGGTGAAATTATTTTGTGTCGTCATTGCTAGTACGGTGAGAATTCCCAATGAAATCCTTGCTGCTGTAGCCTCGATATCGAGCCAGAAGGATATCCAAGAGAGCATCACGATGAGGATGGAAGGCACATACATGTGAATAAAATAGAATCCATTCATCCTTGTCATGTGCAGGTCCAGTTTGATGCAAGAGTAATTATCTTAAAGTTGATTGATTTAATAATATCATTATTTTAAAAAATAAGATCTTTCAAATTGGATTGAAAATGGAGAAAAACGGATAAACTAGTTTACAAATTGTTTTAATATCCACCATATGTTTACATCTTTATTAAAAAAATGTGTTGAGAGAATCCGCTTACGCTCCATGTACTGTTGATCACACGTGTAAGGCACTGTTTTCACGATAGTGAATTGAGTCATCTTTATGTTTTTGCTGAGAATGACTGGTGGTGTATTCCAGCGAACAATCAATGACCTTGTACTATGTCCATCTGTCCAATATAAATTAGTAAAAATATATTTTTTATATTACATACCCATTCTTAGAGCATTTGCAATGGGTACTTGTAATGCACTAAATGAGTTTATGCTCCTTAAGAGGTAGAATCTCAAAGCAGATGGAGGTAGAAAGACATTATATTGAGTCGTATTTAAATCGCTTACAAAATTTAAATCTCACTGAATCCCACCTTTCCTGTGATGTAATTTCTTTAGATATGTGCGGTTGTATATATATACAGACATTTAAAAAAAACTAAAAGCTCTCTGTGTAATTACCTATTATAATATGTTTTCTGTTTTCACTTTTAACATGTTACAAATACTTACAGCTTTCTATGGAAACAGAGCATATCTGTTTGTCTAAAGGGTACTTTCGCAAATCCATATGGCATGAATATGTCCCTGTTACTCTGAAATAAGGAATTGCCTCCAATATTACATATTTCAACCTAACATCTTCGGAAAAAGGCATTTTAAATCAATTTTTTTTTACATACGTGTATAATAGTAGAGTATTGGATCATTTTTTAATTTACTACCGTATGCTGTAGGACACTTGACCGTCGGGATAAACGTTTAACATTTTATTAGGAACAGAAACACTATGGAAATGGGCTGTCTCTTCATTGACAAAGTAAATGTCCGGAACCCAGACAGCTTCAATGGCCAAATGATGAAGTTCAAGCACAGAGATGCCACTAAAGTTATGGCTCAATCGTACATCCTTCCATCTTTGTCGCAAAAAGAAGCTCATCTTGAATTCCTGATAAAGAATCAAATGAAATTTTAAAACCAGAGAGAAATTTAGGCTTAGTAAAATCCAATGACCCAACTTACTTACTAGTGCAAAATGTTGATGATATACTAATATTTTAATATTCTTCGCCTTTTGTATTATTGGTGCGAAATAAATACACGTGCAAGTTCAAAACTACAGTTCAACTGTTGTATATAGAACGCAAAGTTTTTCATTTATGATTATTTTTTTTATTGCTTTAAAATATAGAATTGTCGGACAAATCGTTTAATCACAACAAGATTCTATGAATTAAGCTGCTAATCGTATCGAATTATATCTATATATTTTGACATACAGGGTATTGATCTTTATGAGTCACTCAGTTGACCTGTTTCAATCTGTTAACATCCACGGTCTTTCAGCTTCGCTTCCAATAACTGATAATACAAATTTAACTAAATTTTAAACAATATTTTTAATGCTTTATAATCTTGCATATCAATTAAAACCGTACCGATAGCTTGCTTGTAATGAAAATTGAACACTCTAGAAAACCAGAAGTCTCTGTCGAGACTGAAGCTCTACTGGTTTGAACTTATAGCAAAGGAAGAGAAAAGTACTTAAGCAGCTGGGATTTGAAACTAAATAGAATAATGATCGTTGATAAAGTCTCTTTATGTTCTTAGTGTAGTCTACTTGTGTGCCAAGTTATACTGAAATCAGACCACAACTGTAGGAGGAGTAGCATTTTGAAACAATTTTACAGAAATTTCTATTTTTAGTAACCACGGCAACACCGTTTATCGAAATCAAAAACCGATGCATAGAATTATGTATCTTAGTGTAGTCTACTTGTGTGCCAAGTTATACTGAAATCGGACCAAATCTGTAGGAGGAGTAGCATTTTGAAAGAATTTCAAAGAAATTTCTATTTTTAGTAACCACGGCAACACCGTTCATCGAAATCAAAAACCGATGCAAAGAATTATGTATCTTAGTGTAGTCTACTTGTGTGCCAAGTTATAATGAAATTGGACCAAAACTGTGGGAGGAGTAGCATTTTGAAACAATTTTACAGAAATTTCTATTTTTAGTAACCACGGCAACACCGTTTATCGAAATATAAAACCGATATACAGAATTATGTATCTTAGTGTAGTCTACTTGTGTGCCAAGTTATAATGAAATCAAACCAAAACTGTAGGAGGAGTAGCAATTTGAAAGAATTTCACAGAAATTTCTATTTTTAGTAACCACGGCAACACCGTTCATCTAAATCAAAAACCGATAACGGAATTATGTATCTTAGTGTAGTCTACTTGTGTGCCAAGTTATACTGAAATCGGACCAAATCTGTAGGAGGAGTAGCATTTTGAAAGAATTTCAAAGAAATTTCTATTTTTAGTAACCAAGGCAACACCGTTCATCGAAATCAAAAACCGATGCACAGAATTATGTATCTTAGTGTAGTCTACTTGTGTGCCAAGTTATAATGAAATTGGACCAAAACTGTAGGAGGAGTAGCATTTTGAAATAATTTCACAGAAATTTCTATTTTTAGTAACCACGGCAACACCGTTTATTGAAATCAAAAACCGATATACAGAATTATGTATCTTAGTGTATTCTACTTGTTCGCCAACTTATAATGAAATCAAACCAAAACTGTAAGAGGAGTAGCATTTTGAAAGAATTTCACAGAAATTTCTATTTTTAGTAACCACGGCAACACCGTTCATCAAAATCAAAAACCGATATACAGAATTATGTATCTTAGTGTATTCTACTTGTTTGCCAAGTAATACTGAAATCAGACCAAAACTGTAGGAGGAGTAGCATTTTGAAAGAATTTCACAGAAATTTCTATTTTTAGTAACCACGGCAACACCGTTTATCGAAATCAAAAACCGATACACAGAATTATGTATCTTAGTGTAGTGTACTTGTGTGCCAAGTTATAATGAAATCAGACCAAAGCTGTAGGAGGAGTAGCATTTTGAAAGAATTTCACAGAAATTTCTATTTTTAGTAACCACGGCAACACCGTTCATCAAAATAAAAACCAATGCACAGAATTATGTATCTTAGTGTAGTCTACTTGTGTGCCAAGTTATACTGAAATCAGACCAAAACTGTAGGAGGAGTAGCGTTTTGAAAGAATTTCACAGAAATTTCTATTTTTAGTAACCACGGCAACACCGTTTATTGAAATCAAAAACCGATATACAGAATTATGTATCTTAGTGTAGTCTACTTGTGTGCCAAGTTATATTGAAATTAGACCAAAACTGTAGGAGGAGTAGCATTTTGAAAAATTGTTTACAGACAGACGGACGGACGCCGGACGCATTACTATCGCATAAGCTCTTCTGGTCTCTGACCAGTAGAGCTAAAAAGACATCCGAGGACCCAGGGCTACGTTTACTATTATAGAGACAAAGCGGGGTTCTAATGATAATGAAAAAAAAATAACAAAACTGCAATGCCTCTGTGTTTTACGTTTACTATAGGTTTATTTCCTTGTTCTTTTTTTTTTGAAGGACCTATTCGCAGTTTTAAAAATAAGATTCCAATTTACCAATATTGCATATGTTGGACACCCATTTATTTTCGTATGTTAATATTCACGATGTTAAATTTTCACTTTCTGTTAGTTATCGAAAATTACCTAAACGATGTTTTGTCAAGCTAAGATTAAGACAAACTTAAGGCTTACAGTTTCTGTTTAAAATTTCAACTTCCAACAACTCTATACTTTCTTCTGCCAGTTTTTTATAATTTGCCAGAAAATCCCTTAATTGATGAAAATTAGTACACATTTTCAAAACATTGCATTGTTTCAGTTGTTAAGGATGAACTCATTTGCAAAATTTTTTTCTTTAAATCATACCAATTCACACAAACACTCCAAAGCCGATATTTTAAAAAAAATTGCTTGAGTTTCTAATCTACATTCTATGTAACTGCAGAACTGTAGCTCTCCGAAAGAATTAGCTGCAATAAAGTAGCCCTCTCCTTTTTTTTGGGGGGGGGGGGAGAGAGAGAGAGAGAGAGAGGGCTACAACTCCTTAGAATCTCCGTAATTGTGCAATGCGGCAGCGATTCACTCCCGCACGGATTTTGGCTCAAATTGTCAGTAAACGGCTATTTTATTAATATGTCTTATAGTCTGGTCCGATTTATAGAGAAAAATACTTCTAACGGCAAATAATTATTATTTGGTCCAGCATAGTTTTCTAACCTAATTCGAGTATGCTGAATCCGAAAAAATATGCTGGCCTTCATGAAAATGGCGTTAAAGAGGTCAAAATAGCGATTCAAAATAGCGGACATCCAATTTTTCTAATTTTCTCTTAATATCGTTCAAAAAGGAGAAATAATGTTTGAATATCTCACCGAGTGTAATACACGTACATGTATACAAATGATTATAGAATGCTAACATTATTAGTTTAACTAGGAAAATTTAGTTGTTTCTACACTTAATTCGAATTTTCTCAGATTTATTTGTCTATTGTTCTAAATTCTGCTTTGTTCAGGAATTTACATTTGCAAATATCCATACACTGCAGATTTGTATTTTTTCCTCTACATCTCACTATCCTACAACTGAATAATGGTGCAGCTGTAAGTAAAGAGTCGATATAGCGACTCAAAATGGTCGATATTCATTTTTTCTTAGATCCCGATCTGATAAACAGGCGCCAAAATATGCATACTAGAAAATATTATTGAAATCGGTATGTAAAAACATTATACAGCAGAAAAAAATGTGAAACAGTGAACTCTTATATCAGGGGTAAGATCTGTATGTATATCTCAACGTCATTCCATTGAATTATTTACTGTAACTCATCAAAAATGTCGACACCGTACCAGACAAGATCCAAAATGGCGGCGATCTTCTCCGACCTTGGTAAACTAAAAGAAAGTGCTGTAATGCACACCAAAGAGTGGTCGTCAGATATTTTTGATAAATACAAAATACCCGAAAATCCACATACACCGTCAGGTAAGGGTGCAAGTGCTCCTTATGAAGAACTGAATGTAGAATTATACAAACCGAACGCAAACATGCTAGGATTTCGAATCAAAACTCACCAAAGATTGTTATACTGGATCAAAGCCATAGGTTATAGATATTATCTTGCTGCTGGAGAAGCTTATTAGCTTTGTTTGTGAATGGGTAGATAAAACGAACGAAAACAATGAAGTAAATGAGGTATTTGTACAGCTGAAAAAAAGGAACAACAGATATGCCGACTATGAGTATGACACCGAATCTGATGAGAAACTCATAACAATTCACATTTACCCAAATACTCATTTAATAACTGTTCAGGGACAACAGTACATGTGGTGGGCCGATAATGAATTCCAATACTTGAAGAACATTGTCGACATAGCTGATGGTCTACGTTTAGAGCATTCGGAACAAATATTTCCACCATCAGAGAATGTATTGTTAAATGATTCCAGCTGTTCTGATGACAAAGACTTTAAAAGTGAGTCCATCACCATTGTGAAAAAAAATTAGTACATCTACACCTCGTGTGATTTCTCCAAAATGTGTTCTACCCAACGATATCCAAAGTGTCCAATGTGAAATTAAGAAAATGAATCAAAGTATTCAGATGTTGGAGTGTGAAGTCTGTAAAATTTTACCAACAGTTTCTTGTCTAGAAGATAAAATCTCAACTCTTACAGAAAAAAACATTGAAAAGGCTATGCAAACCACTCTTCAAAAATATCTGGACCCAATTCTGAAAGAAAAAATTCAATTGAGAAATGAATTAAAGGAACTGAAAACCAATACTCAGAAGGAAATTACACTCGTACAAAAAGATGTAGCAATATTAAAATCTCAAACTAGTGTTTCCTCTTCCAAAAGTTGGCCACAACCTCAGTTTTGTGAAAAAGTGGTGTTGGAAACAGGTGGAGTTCAGAAACAGCATGTGCAAGAGACTGCAGTAGAGGACACAGCTTCTATGCCAATAGTGCATCCTAATGAAAAAACAGTAACC